GCGATATTATCGTCGTCTCATTCGCAGCTCCTCGAGTTGGCAACTCGAAGTTCAAAGAGGCCTGCAAGGGCCTGAAGAACCTACACCAGCTTCGCATCGTTAACCACGGAGATATCGTCACGACCATCCCCTGGTTTGCATACCAGCACGTCGGTGACGCTATCAAGCAGTACGACAGCGATGTGAAGTTTTTGCATGAGGACAAAGGTTGGAACAAGTTCTGGGAGTTCAACATGTTCAACCGCCCGCTGGCTATTCCGTTCACATACCACGGGACAAAGGTGTATTGGGAGAGGTTTCTCGCGAACAGAAGAAAGTGGCCGAGCAAAAGATAGGGCGGGTGCTGCATGGGGGTTAGGTAGAGGGATGGGATACTTGGCATTGACTGACACATCACACCACTTCTGTCTGAGAAGGAGCCCTAAGCTATCACCCTTTGCACACCCTTTCCACATTAACGGGGATTGATTACTTTTTGTATGAACGAGGATTGGATGATCGCATGGTTTTTGCATCTTCCAGCGATGTTGCCGCTTCTATGCGTGCCCGTCTTGCGTGGGATAGCCTGTCGTCTCAACCGCGCCTTTTCGGTCATCTTCGTGTGTCGTGTCATTTTCGGTGTGCATGTGAGGGCACTGGTCTTGGGAAGGTTTGTGTTGGCGTGTGTGGAGTGTGTCGGAGATTTGCAGTCAGCTGAGGAGTGGTTTGTGTGTGTCTGTGTGATGGCTTGGCGACGCCTTTAGCTTCCGACATTCGGGAGCGGGGAGGCGTCTGCAGGCGAGCAGGCAGTGCCACCTGGCCTTTCTGGTCGGGTAGGTTTCTTACATCTGACTGCTGGCTATATCACTCTTTTTCCCCTTGAAGTGTGCGCCGGGCTCCCCTTTCTTACGGATCGTTTGCGTGGAGTGTGCATTCGGAGAGAACTTGTTGGCCTTGCGTCTGAAACTCAGACTGACATGACAATGGTGCTGCTCGGAGGTTGTGCCTGAAGAAGCCTCAAATGTTTTTGAGAGGTGACAGAGTGTTAGTGTCTGTGTACCGCTGATGAGGTCGGACTCTACACGCTTGTCTGAATGATTTGAAATGGACGATTGAAACCTCGCAAGGTATTTCATGCTTTGAGGCTTTCTATGTTGCTCAATGGTCAGGAGGAGACCGATGGCGTGTGATCGAAGGAAGAATCTCTCTTCCCCTCACTTATGCGATCACTCATCGCTTGACAGAGAGACGGTTGATGAGGGGCGGTTGATGGTCTTTTGCGGAGAGACGTGAGAGGGACAGATAAATGCTCCACCACCCACCTGACCCACCTGACCTTTCTGGTCGGGTAGGTTTCTTATATATGACTGCTGACTGTATCACTCGTTTTCCCCTTGAAGTGTATGCCGGGCTCCTCTTTTTACGGATCGTTTGCATGGAGTGTGCATTCGGAGAGAACTTGTTCGCCTTGCGTCTGAAACTCAGACTGATATGACAGTGGTCCCTCTTACGGCAACCGCCCCACGCGATCCATCCTGGCGACGCACGAGCGCAGAAAGAAGAACAAGCAAGTGCGCGTCTGCGAGGACCTGTCCATGACCTTCACCCCTCTGGTCGTCACCGTCGATGGGGTGTGGGGGAGGGAGGCGGAGCACTTCTTCACCCGCTTGACTG